TGTATCAAGGGTGACTGGCATATATGCAGAAAAGATAAAACATGAAAAACAAGCCCAGTCAATTTCTGAAAAAATTATAATGAAATTGCAAATTGAGCTTACCTGCTGTCAGGTTCATACGAACTAGGTTATTCAGCCTTCTGGTTACTGCAAAGAAACAAATTGAGAGAACTATGTTAGGTGTTTGGTCAAAAATATAAAAGCAAATAATAGAAGAGGAGAAAACAAATAATTTGTGCAAGCAGATTAGATATAATACAGAGCAACACCTAGACAAATGAGTGATTAAGGCCGGTTTTCTGACTTATCTAATAACCCTATTTCTTCTAGCTGCTGGAGCACCTCTTCTAACCATTTCCCCTTCTTTTTTTTTTTGACCATTTACCTTTTATTCTGGAACAATCTTATTAGGGTGGTATTTTACATATTTCTGCCAAATCTTCCTATTATTGCTAATACCATTTCAATGGTTTTCATCCTTTCAAACGAGAGAAGTTCGATACTTTCGAATCCAATGCATTATTTCCTCTTTCTACTCATATGTACTCTATGATCTCAGCTTCTAATAAAAAATTTCAAGAAGTGTGACTGACATGTAGAAGAGGGACCTTTTTCTTCAAAGTTAAATTCACATAAAAGCATCAATGAAACATCCCCACCCCACCCCACCCCTTTTTTTTTTCTATACTCCCTTTTCCCCATTCTATACTAGACTCATTCTATTAGGACGATCCAAAATGTTTGACAACACTCAACTAATAGTATCATTCTATATAACTTTTACCTCTTTCAAGAACTCAAATTCATTTATCTGTTCAATTTTAACCTTTGATATGATATTTTCCCTATCAAACTAATTTTTTCTCAACACTATATCCAGTCAAACACCATCATCTTGATTCCTTCTACTTTGTTTTTCTTCTCTTATCAAGGAAAACTCAACTACAAAGAAGCTTATGCTAAAAGTATTACTAGTAAAACTAACAAAAGACATTCCAATCATAATTTACTTGACAATGTAATTCTTTGGGAAATGTACCTAACCAAGTGGCAATGGAAGCACCGGTAGCACCAATGCCAAAATCTCTTACAGCATTTTGCTTCCATGAATTAAGTAGTTTAGCTTCTTCACTCGTCAGAGCTTCCTACAAATATATATCATTGCAGAAACAAATAAATATCAATAAGCAAATTAGTTAGAAAACCTAATGCACCTTGATTTAATTTCGGAAAATCGAGAGAGGGAAAAAAAAAAGAGTACAAATTACCTAATCAAATAGAAAGGGAAAAAAGGATTATTTTCCTCAAGGTTAATGCACAGTAGCAGTGGAAATTTAGGGCAAAGAAGAAAGTCCATTTGAATATTAGTACTTAAAAATGGTACCTTTCTGGAGATGAGAATTTCTTCCAGCTCGAAGAGAGCTTCCGCCATTATTCAGCTGTTTTCACTTCTGCCCCAACTCCGACTCCGACTCCGACTCCGGGATCTTGATCCGCGGAAGCGGCGAAAAAATGACGAAAATAGTCCCTTAGTATATATTTAACGGTTTGATCCTTTGAGTTTGTTAAATTTTTATATCAATCAAAAATAATTTCTCTATCCTCACAAAATTAGAGTTAAGATTGCATCAACTTCTTTCTCAAATCTCATTTGTAAAATTACACTTGGTATTAACACTTTTAGGACTCGTCTGGTACGAGAGATAAAGGGTAAACGTTCGTTTTAAGATGAGTTTATTTCATGTTTGGTTGGAATAAATTTATAAGATAACTTATTTTGGGATTTGTTATCTCGAAATTGTAGTGTTATTTTTATCGCACATTGAAGGTGAGATAACTGTTACAATAGCTAAACATTCAGAAGTTAGTTACTAATCCATTAGTTAGTTAGAAAGTCATTTTAGTCATTTCAGAATGTTAGTTAGTGCTAGTTAGTTACCTCGATTGTTGTGCTGATGAATCAGTTAGTTAGTAGATTGGATATTTTTTCTTCTTCTTGCTTTCTATATAATCTGTGGATGTATCTCACTTGTAAGATCATCCAGATTCAGATTAATAAAATTCTCTCTCGTTTCTTCCTCACTCCAGTTTCTTCTCTAAGTTCATCAATGGTGTTATGAGCTTGTATGCTCACAGTTTTCTTCAATAACAATCTTGGGATAACTAATATCAAGATAATTTGTTCCCCGACCAAACAAGTTATTAGTCTCTCTCTGATATTTTACTAAATAATGAACTGTATACGTTAGATTTGATGTGAACTATATCAAAAGAAACTAAACTATAAATATCAAGAAAGTCTCGTCAAATTTTAAAATATGCAACATCAAATATTACACTAAGAGATATTTTAAAATAGCCTAAAATAAACCTAGAAAATTTTACAAGACTCTAGAAATAAAGTAAGAATATCAGAGAAACTGCAAATATTATACCTCTAAATGCAAGTTCCCGCTAATTTCCTTTTTTTTCTTTTTTCTTTTGTGGTTTTTATCAAATCTAACCGACAAAATTTGATAATATTTGACAAAAATTAAAAGTAATATGACAACCTTAAATGACCAAAACTATTAAGTGCATACCTAAAGGACTATTTTGAACCTACTATCAAACATAAAGGACTATTTTTGTCATTTTCTTTAAAAGCGATACAGACGAATTGTGAATAGTCGAATCAACCACTAACACAATTTTTTGTTGTTCTTGAATTGGCGGGACTTCAAATTTGTGAACTCCTTTTCATTTACAAGAATGATCTAACTTTAAGGTAGGTGATTTGAACTTTAAATTTAAGAATTTATTTTTTTTAACTTCAGTTTGCTTATGAAATAAGTGTGTCAACGGTTTAAAATCACTTATTTTTAAGAACAATGAATAAATTTTTCTACAATATGATATTGCAATACGTGAGGTATATGAGTGATTGTTGAATTAACTTTTGAGTCTGTTTATTCGATGGATAACATTTCAAGTTAACAAATAATCATTTTTTACCTTAAAAGTTGACCCATAAAGTAAGTAGATCAATAGTTCAAGATCATTAATTTCCAAAGTAATTAGGTGTAATTTCCTAATTCAAAGAGAGCAAAAACAATATTAGCTCTTATTATCATTAGTGATTAGTGCTAGGAATAGGCAAAACGTGCATATTCATTAAATATCACTACATCAAAAATAATTTTTAGCAGCAAGTAATTAATAGCAATAGCTTAATTGATACTAAAAGTATATTTTTAAGGATATTTAGCAATCTTTATAGTAAATATTCCTAAAGTCTTAGCGACACTGGGTCCAGTAACAATTAATGTCATAAAGACTTTATCACTCTTTGTTCATATGTATATTTATTGCCGCTAAAAGCTGTTTTTGTTGTAGTGTATATAATTTGACATTTCTCATGGTAGCAAGAAAATATAATCATATCTTACTCTATTATTAAATATTTATATTAGCTAATTATAATATGAATTTTATACCAATTTTTGATATTATCTTATCCCATATAAGAGATGTTATAATTCTTCAATAACCTTCAGCCCTTTAATCTCTTTCATAGATCCAAAATAAAATTGTTATTTTCAGAATTACATATTATATCGTTATAGAACGACAACAAATGTGTGTCACTATTATACCTCATTGTCAATTTGATTAAAGCACTACTTTTTACAACTCACTTATTTTCTTTGTACCTAAGGAACCACAAAATATTAATGTTAGGACAATCTATATAAAAAAGAAGAACCAATCATCATGAGCCACCTTAACCTAATGTTTTGGTGGATATACTATCCTATATATGATGCACGTGAATTCATGATCTCTTTACTAAATTTAAATTTTTACAGATATTGATTTTGTTTAGCTTATATATCTCAACCCGTTTATAATTGAGTTTTGTTTTATTAATCGACTGATTGAACTCGTTGTTGATGCAAGAAATATCATATTATTAAATCAACTAATTATGTAAGTCATACTATTAATTATATGCTGAAATCATAATCATATATAGTCGTGAGTAATTAGTTGAGTCTCTTAGATCATTTTCTTGATTACTAATTGAAGTGGGTGAACTAATCCTATCTACAGCAGAAAGTGTTGTAACTTTACTTTTTTTCTATTTTTGACGCGTGCACTTGGAATTAATATTAAAAACTTCATTATCATGTGGAAAAAGTAGAAAAATACCTTTTTGTTAAAAATATACTATGATAGTTCAGTGACTTAAAGGAAAAAACAAAGCCTGAATTGGCTAAAAAAAATTCAAATTATCATTATTTTGCAAGTTGAAGAATTCTCCAAACTATCATGAACTTATATTAAAATAGTCTGTGAAGGAATATAACATGCTACGTAAATATTACACTGTAAAAGTACCTTAAAAAATTGACTTGGAGAAAATTTGAGTGAATAGGCTATTAAAATCTATTAATCAATCACTATTTAGCAAGTTTCGTATCTAAATTATATTAGGTACGGGATTCAGACCACCCCTGAACTCATTTGCTAGATGGACTAATTTTTAAGACTTTTTTCATTTGCACGTATCTCTTAACAAGTTATCTCAATCCATTCAACAGGAGATTTTTAATCTACAATGAATTATAGTCCAAAAGAATAAAAATACCCAATCATTTAAATATAAAACTCACTAAACAATACTATAATTTAAGAACTCTTTAACCTATTCACTCAAAAATAAACAACATATACTCACATTAACAAAGAGAAAATAAACAAAACTATTAACAATAGTACTCTCCACTAAAAATATTAACATTCTATATATGTACAACACAAAGATGTTACATTAAGATTTAGCCATCAAAAGGGATTGTGAGGCCTTATTCAACCTTCAAACTAATTACACCATATGTGAAACTTCTGACTGATTCAAATTCATATCATATAAAAATCTATTAAAAATAAAAGTGTATGTATATATATTAGTAATCTTTTTATATTATTAATGTTCAAATCCGATACGTTTGATAAAGAAGATACATCTCCTACGTGTTATGTACTTATTGATCTAATTGTATACTTCTTAGAAGAAGAATTTGTTGACAAATCACCTGACCTTCTTCTTAACATTTGCCTCATACCATCAGCTACATGAACAGCAGGATTATTAGACTTATATTTTCTGCAAAATGACATGTGAGCTTTTAAAGCTTCTTCCATATCAATAAAATATTGCTTCTTTTTTCCTCTATTAAATTCATCTCTAACAGCTTCTGAACATAATCCACACAGCCATTTGCCTTCAAAATTCTCCTTCACTTCACTTATGTACTCTATTGTACACTCTTCTTTCAATCCACAACAATCACACTTTGCCAATTCTATTTCCATCACTTAATTTTCTTGAGTTTTTGATAAGTAATACTTTTTTGGCTTTGTTTTTTTTATGAGATTTATTGGTACTTTTTCCTAAGTTTTTTTTTTTTGGTGTGAATGGAGAGGGGGTTTAAGAGAAGTTATATAGGGAGGGGAATTAAAGGTTCCATAATTTCCTCCCATGTTACATGGGACATATGGGTCAGTGGAAAATGAGACAATTTGGTCATTGTAGGGTCACGTGGTCCTTTAATTTCTTGCATATAATAATAAATAAACAGCAAATATTGCATTGTCATTTTCTTATATTTACTTTCGGTTGACAAAGTTATTATTATCTTTTTTTAAATTGCGCTTTTGTGATTTTAAAATTGGAAAGTTACGTTGAAATGGAAAAGTGCTATCGAAGTGTTATGTGATTAATAATGTTTATATATTAGGTGTGAATGGTCAATAAAGTTCAACATATTTACCAAATGAGTATTGTGGAAATGTAAATGTTAATGTATACGATCATATAAGATTAGATAGAATAAAAAATGATAATCAAGTTTGTGAGTTGGTTCAATTAGTAGCACCCATTAGGGATAAAATTAGAGAAGGAATTAATTTGCTTGTGATTATATGGTCATGTCGTGTGTTTATCACCAAATACACCACTTAAATATGAAATCATGGTGAGTGAAGGTATTAACAAGGAATGATCTCGATCTAAAATCACATGAAAGAGAATTATCAAAGATTCTTAAATTTTTTGGATTCATGTGGACTTCGCAAAAGATAAGACACAATTGAAAAAAAAAAACTACAGTCAAACATTTCTATAGTGACAGTGTTTGTCTATATATATACTAGTGTTTGATGTTTAGATCTCATTTAGTTGTTATAAACAAATGCACGCAAAATTAGAAAGAGTATAAATGTAAAAAAAGAAGCAAACATCAGTAGCCTTTCCTCGTGAATTTATGTCCATAACTAATGGACTTCATTTAAATATATTTTTTTCATTTCAGTTATTCGTAATTGAAATAAAATATATTTTTTTCATTTCAGTTATTCGTAATTGAAATTTGCTATGTGCATGTCAGTAATTATGATTACTATAAATATTTTAATATTTTATTTTATACGTATATATTTCTTACATAATATTTGAGTACGACTGTTATAAATGAGTAATTTTACCAAGATTATACTGCTATAATGAATGTTATTTTTGTTATAGGTAGAATGTTATAACAGAAAAGCAAAATATAAAATGAAACATTAATTCTAGAGAAAATCATATCGTTATAGTGAAATATCGATATAATAAATAATCGTTCTAATGAAGCTTGACGGTATATAATTAAAGAATAATATTATTAGATGATAATATATTTTATTTATATTTTAGCACTTTTACTTTACATCCTATACTATTGTAGGAATTATTTAGCCATTCAAAGATTTCTAAGGATCAATAATGATGTCTACATACATTATGAATTTAATATTCTAATTAATCTCTATATTGAAAAGTACAGTTGGAGAAACAATAAGATGTTTTAGTGGGACTGGGCGTGTAACTATACGAGTCTTTTTCTTATTATGAAACACATGTTTTCGTGATTGGTTTGTGTGTTTGATATATATATTTTAACACAATATATAAAATAAAAATTAACAATAATATTAGTATAACCAAAAAGTGTTTAATGAAATTTTTGGTTTACCAAAAGTTAACAATAATATCTAAGTATCAGTTAAAGCAATTAATATAAAATTAAAAGTTAAGTAAGTTGTAAAGAAAATGATTCTTCTCTAGTAAAGAAGTTTCTTAATAGAATTTTTGTTTGGTAAGATATTGTTTGGTAATGAAAATAACTTAATCATGAATTTCTACACACACTCTTCTTTTTTATGATGCCTAAAGGGGGGAAATAAGGAAGATAACAGTTTATAGGTTAAAAGATATCCTTCCGTTTCAAGTTGAATGATATGTTTTAATTTAGTATGTAGTTTAAGAAAGTAAAAAAGATTTCTAAATTTTATTATCTAATATTAAAAATTTATAAAATATACTAAAATGTCATTTAATTTTTTGGTTCTTATGCAAAAACTGAAGAGATATTTTTGAAGATGAGATACGGAAGAATGATCTTCTAAAAAGACATATGGTTATCATCAGATTCTCAAACCTAATTATCTAAAGGGTTACTATGAATGGAGGGTTAGTTCTTGTAGGTGATTAAAGCAGGGCGTAGCTGTAGCCATTCCAAGGTGTCTAGTTGGATATTATTCGGTAGAAAATTACATTATATATATGTCAAATTCTACATTTAAAGGATATATATTTAAAATTGGACACTATTGACGAAAGTTATGTCTTTGGCGCAGTGGTAAAGGGTATCCATTTGAATGAAAGAGTTTTGAATTTGAACCCAAATAGCACAATATTTTTTTTATTTTATATTGATAGCCACACACATCATTATTCTTGGACAGCCTTAGTAAAATTTCTGACTATGCTACTGATTAAAGCTTACAAACTTTACTTAGTCATGTAAATCTAGCAACTAGTACATGCTGATTAATATGGCTAAGGCTTACAATATGTTTACTGGTTGTAAATTAATCAAAATTTATAATATATATATATATATATATATATATATATATAACTTAAATAATTACTCAGAAAGAGATCAATATGGACAAGGGTTAGGACATATGTGTTCTTTGGTTTCAAGGATGTTAGACTGAGTAGACTGGTTCCTAAAATAATTAATAGTTTATATGATGAATATCCGACAAATCAAGAGGCAATTTATTCAGCCATAAATGCACCCTTTATCTGATTAAGTAAATTAAATGTGAATGAATAACCTAAGATTGATATTGTGTCTTAATTGCTAATCCTCCACGCGAACTTGAAGAATTAAAGCAATTGTCCTTGTGTATAGGCCATGTGTACAATCAGAAATCACATGAAGTATACAGATAAGAAATGGCCAAACATGTGGGGTTGTCCATGTTGTGAGGCTCATATATGATATATCATACCTCTAACGTTTTATGGTATTTGAGTGGTTACAAAATTTTAAAAGTAAACAAGACTCTACATCATATATTAATTTTTTTTTAGAAGTTATGATTTTAAATATGCTATAAATTAAATTAGCTCTGATTACAAGAGCATGCTATAAATAAAGATAAAATTAGGAAGTTCAAATTATAAAATCAATAATATGTATATTTAATGTAATTTTGTATGTAAAATTAATTTGAGGTGCAATCTTTATTTTTGTAAGGGTAAAGAGGTTGTTTATGTGGATAGACCATCGGCCCAAACAAAAGTTTTCAAAGCAAGGTTGTAAGAAAATGATAGTAAAACAACAGGGTATAAAATAAATTAAGCAACAAACAGTAATACATATTGAAGAATAAGATAAACTACATGATTACTAAATATATAATACTACTAATAAGTTAGCTCACTGCCTCTACGTAAAATGCGATAACACTTACCTATAGCTACCTACTAACTAGCTTCTACCCTAATTCTCGATCTATAGATATTTATCTATCTTTGGTTATGTCCTCAATAGGTTGAAGTACTCATGTCATATCTTGTATAATCACCTCTTCCTAATTCTTTTGTAGCATACTTCTACCTCTCCTAATTCTTGATACAACCAAACGTCTCATCACATCCTTGCTAACATATATATATATATATATATATATATATTATCCGCACACCCCCCACCTCTTCACATGTTGAAATCATCTCAGTCTAGCTTCCCTAATCATCTTGTTTGTCACAGAGGCCTTTTCCACCTTGTTTTGTACGTATAACTTCGTTCCTATATATCGTCTCTTTTAGTAATGCCCACATATTCATCTAAGCATACTCATCTCTACTACATTCATCTTTTGAATGTGGGCGTTCTTCTTTGGCTAACACTCTGCCACATACGACAATGTTGGTCCAACCACCACTTTGTAGTACATAGAACTTACTTTAAGCCTTGGAGATGTGAGCCTCCATTTAACCTCTCTCTATAATATGAGATGTTATATCATCACCAATCTCCCCGTCTCCTTGGATTAGACTTGAAACCTCTTAGGTATTTTCTTGTACATTGATCTTCACTCCACATATGGCGTATGTGTTGCATTACTAAACTTACACTCCATGTACTTTGTTTTAGTCCTGCTTAACCTAAAATCCTTTAGATTCTAAGGTCTATCTCTAAATTTTCAGCCTATCACTAACTTCAATTCATCCCACGTCTCATTAATCAATACTATATCTACAAATAACATACACCACAACACACCTCCCCTTGAATATGTCGTGTCAATTCGTCCATCACTAATATAAATATGAACAGGTTAAGGGTTGATCCACATTGGTGCCATATCATGACTAGGATCAAGTGTTCAAGTCACCTCTCACTATTCTAACTCGGGGCTTGGCTCCCCATTGTAGATATTTTTAATTGGCCTAACGTAAGTAACATGTATACCTTTAGACTCCAAACATCTCTAGATGACTTCTATAGGAACTTTATCATACACGATTTTCTAGGTCAATGAACACTATGTGTAAGTCTCTCTTCCTAGGCCTATTGCTCCAGCAACCGCCTTACTAGATGAATGACTTATTATGTAGTTGATCGTTCGACATAAATCAAAATTAGTTCTCGAAGATAAACACATCTCATTCCTCATCCTCATCCCAACCACCTTCTCTCAAACTTCCACAATACGCCTTAATAGCTAGATACCTTATAGTTATTACAATTCTAAAATTTGAAGTCAATTAAAAAAATATATATAAAAGATTGAACCATTTTTTTGGCAATAATTATTTTTTTGATGAAAGAGAGGTCATCATATATTATAACGGATGAGTACTACAAATTCCTTTTTGTTAGTAATAACTTTGTGTCCACATAATATAGTTGTAGTTATGGTCTAGGCTAAACAACATGTGAATTCTTGTCTAATAAATGGTCGACCAACATGAATTTTGTAGTTGCC